AAGACTGAAGGGAAGGACGGAGGTCAGATAGAAGACTGAAGGGAAGGACGGAGGTCAGATAGAAGACTGAAGGGGAGGACAGAGGTCAGATAGAAGACTGAAGGGGAGGACGGAGGTCAGATAGAAGACTGAAGGGGAGGACAGAGGTCAGATAGAAGACTGAAGGGGAGGACGGAGGTCAGATAGAATACTGAAGGGGAGGACGGAGGTCAGATAGAAGAATGAAGGGAAGGACGGAGGTCAGATAGAAGACTGAAGGGAAGGACGGAGGTCAGATAGAAGACTGAAGGGAAGGACGGAGGTCAGATAGAAGACTGAAGGGGAGGACGGAGGTCAGATAGAAGACTGAAGGGGAGGACAGAGGTCAGATAGAAGACTGAAGGGGAGGACAGAGGTCAGATAGAAGACTGAAGGGGAGGACAGAGGTCAGATAGAAGACTGAAGGGAAGGACAGAGGTCATATGCAATGTACATTCCACCAGCAGATACGGTGCCTCAGTTACCTTTACAGACATCGGTTGAAGGAACGGCGTCGGGACGCTTTGCCAGGCCGTCCATCACCAGCTTCTCTCCCACGTCTATGACGGCCTCTCCGTGCTTCTTCTCTATAGATATTGCGTATATTCCATCTTCCAATGACCGAGCTGTGAGGGCAACATCAGCTCCCAGCAGTAGATTGCTCAAGGATTGTGTCCCCTCAGGAGACCACTGATGGGTAGCAGGGGCCACATCTGGGGGAAGAGAGAGGTGCAGCAGTGAGAACCTATTACAATAAAGGCGAGCTCCCAATATACGGACATTTCGGGATGTCTTACCGTACAGGCGGCACCGTGTGATCTGCATGGGGGTGCGCAGGAAGCTTTCCTTGACGGGGCGAAGGCCGGAGAACGGGAGAGTCTCCAGGTTTCCGTAATCCGCATATCCTATTTCCACCGCAGATTCCGACACCTCAAGGACGACAGCTCTGTACCACTGCCCGTCTCCTGCAGACACAAAGTCACATGACATGCATTGGTCTAAACCCGGGGTCAGCAACCTGCGGCTCCGGAGCCGCATGTGGCTCTTTCGTCCCTCTGCTGCGACTCCCTGTCCAGGGGCGGAACTACTCCTGGGGCCTCGGGCTGTGGTCCAGTGAGGTCCGGTCCTGGGAACCCCCCCTGGTGGAATATGCGGCAGTGCAGGGCCCCGCACTGCTGACGGGCTTCTCAGTAAGGGGGCGGGTCTTGTGACTCACCTCCCGGCCGCATACGTAGTAACAGGCGGTGGGAGAGGAGAAGTGTGTGTCACATGCCCCGCCCCCTGTAGTGCACACCGCCTGGCTGGGGTGCTGGCTGTGAGGCTTGGCAGGGGAGTTCGAATGAGGAGCGCGGGGG